CTGTCAAAAGCATTGCTCCAGTGTCTTCTTCCAACCACTTGTCCAAGTCAAGTTGTTTAGAGTCTGTTTCTTTTCCTGTTTCTGTTTGTCAAAGGCTCGTGTGCCTAAGGCTTCAGAGTCATATTATTCCTGTTTGTCATAAAAATTACAGTAATAACAAGTATTACTAAATTGGAGAGTTTGTGGCATAATAGACTGGAACATTTGCTCGTTTATGCAATGAACGTATAAAAGGATTACCTATAAAGTTCATGGAAAAGAAAGAATTCCTTTGTGTCATTTGTCCTTTAGCCAGACAATTTGAACTCTCTTTTACCATTAGCACTATCATATCCAAAAAATATTTTGATTTGATTCATATGACACATGGGGACCATATAAAACTCCTACTTACAAAGGGGAGAAGTATTTTCTTACAATTATTGATGATTTCTTCAGAAGCACTTGGACATTTCTTCTCAATACTAAATCTAGTGCATTTCCCACATTAAAATCGTTCTTAGGACTTATTGAAAGACTTTTTTTTGCTAAGGTTAAAGTTATAAGATCTGATAATGCTTTTGAATTAGGTACAGGACAAATTCCTAAAGACTTCTTCTTCTCACTAGGCATAATCCATCAAACCTCTTGTGTTGCAACACCACAACAAAATGGTGTTGTATAGCGGAAACATAGGCACCTTTTGGAAACCTGTAGAGCCCTTCTTTTCCAATCACATGCCTCTAAGAAATTTTGTGGGGACTCTTTGTTGACTGCCACCTACTTGATCAACAGGTTTCTATCAAAGGTACTTCAAAATAAATCACCATTTCAGGCTCTTTTGATAAACAATCAGATTATCACCCTCTTAGACCTTTTGGATGTTTATGTTTTAGTTCTACCTTGTCTCGACATAGGGATAAGCTTGATCCTGGAGTAATCCCTGGTGTTTTTCTTGGATATCTATTTGGGAAGAAAGGGTATAGGATTCTAAATTTACTATCTAATTAGGTCATTCCTGTCCTAGTTCCTCTCTTATCCCTCTGTCTAGTCCTATTGTATCCACCTCCTCAATTCAAACTACACCTCCAACAGAAGTCTTACCCTCCCCACAAGGGCCAATCTTGCGACGATCACAAAGAAAGCATCACCAACCAATCTATTTGTCAAATTATATTTGTAATACTGCGGATTCTACTTTTTCTCCTCATCCTCCTTTACTTTTCATACATTCTTTTGCTTTTTCTGACCTAACAAAAGATAATCAGACAATGATAAATTCCATATGTCAAATACAAGAACCTACTTCTTACCATCAGGCAGCCAAGGATTCAGGTTGGAAACTTGCTATGGAAAAAGAACTTGACGCACTAGAATCCAATCGCACTTGGTCCATTGTTACTTTTCCTGAAGGAAAGAAGGCTTTGACCTGCAAATGGATATATAAAGTGAAGTTAAAGTCAGATGGATCCTTGGAAAGATTAAAGGCACGTCTTGTTATCACAGGGGATACACAAAGGGAAGGTTTGGATTATACAGAAACGTTCTCACCATTAGTAAAAATGACAACGATTTGATGTATTCTTACCATTGCAGTGAAAAGAAATTGGAAATTGTACCAGCTGGATGTCAACAACGCCTTCTTACATAGCAATTTGGATGAAGAAATATACATGCACTTTCTCCAGGTTTAACTCCTCCTTCTGCTTCTCTTGTTTGTAGAATACGCAAGTCGTTGTATATTCTTAAACAAGCATCTCGCCAATGGTACGCTCGATTATCTGCTACTTTAGGTACAAGGGGTTTCAAGTCATCACTTAATGACTATTCCCTTTTTTTAGATCTCTGGTGAAATGATCACTATACTCGACGATATCTTAATTACTGGGAACAATGCCAAAGAAGTTGCAGACATTAAACATTTCTTGAACACTGAATTCAAAATCAAAGATTTGGGTGAGGTGCATTATTTTTTGGGATTAGAACTTGTACGCGAAAGAATGGATTAATGGTTGCACAACGGAAATTTGCTCTAGGCCTCCTCACTGAGTTTGATTGCTTGGCTTCCATACATGCTTCTTCTCCTCTTGATCCATCTCTTAAGCTCTCTTCTGAGTGCGGAACTCCCCTTTCTGATCCTACCATTTATCGTCGATTGATTGGCAAGCTCAATTTTTTTTAACTAATACACATCTTGCTTTTGTTGTGCAGACACTTAGTCAATATATGTAAATGCCTTGTACTGGGCATTATCAGGCAGCACTTCATACTCTGCGATACTTATGTAAAGATCCGAGGCTTGAACTTTTTATGTCTCTAGATTCTTCTTTTCAGCTTGTTACCTATTGTGATTCTGATTGGGCTGCTTGTTCTAATTCTCGATGTTCGGTTAGTGGATTTTTCTTAAGCATGGGCGATTTTCCAATTTCATGGAAATTGAAAAAGCAACAGGTAGTTGCTCTTTCCTCGGCCGAAGCGGAGTATAGATTAATGCGTCGATTGGTGGCTGAAATTACCTGGGTAGTTCGTCTTCTTCAAGATCTCACTGCCCCTCCATCTTTGCTTATACCTTTGCACTGTGATAACCTAGCAGCAATTCATAGAGCGAAAAATCCTATCTTTCATGAACGAACTAAGCATATTGAGCTTGACTGCCATTTCATTCGTGAAAAATTGCTGGATGGATTGATTTCTCTATCTTTTGTTCCATCTTCATCTCAAATTGTTGATATCTTCACAAAAGCCCTCTCCAGGCCGCTTCACCGTTCTTTTATGGGCAAGTTGGGAGTTCGATCTGGGGTCTCCAACTTGAGGGGAGGTGTTACCGAAAAAAATTACTTTGGCCCCAACAAGAAGTAATGTTCAGACACAGGCTCAAAGTGGAGGAGACAGCTCAAAGTGGAGGAGACATTGGGACATAGGTTATGTCCAATATGTTCTAACTTTAGAATATCAAACTCCTTTTATTCCTCTTAAAGTGATGGCCACATGTACATGTAAGAATACACATAAATTGTAGCCAATGGTGATGGTTATTTCTTTGTATAAAGGCGGAATTCATCTGGAGACACTTAAAGTTGGCATCATTTTTCATTTAGACACCTAAACTGAAGGTTGTTCCTATTGAGCACTCATACTACACTAAACTTGTTCCAATTAGGCATTTTTTTTATAATTAGCCGAACTTACAAAGTGTGTGCAATGCACTCGCGGCTAACGTGGCGAATGACAAATAAAAAAAGGATATATATCATTTTGAGTTAAAAAAAACTATTTTAAAATCTATTTAGTAAACAAAATAAAATAACATTCTCAAAAAGAAGAAAAAACTTAATTTACACCCAATCAGAAAATGACACATTATTAACAAAAGAAAAGACAAAAAAAGGACATATTGGTGTTCTTGAAATCATTGTTCTTGGTGTTCTTCACTATCTTCATGCGTATTCTTGTTTCAACCACGATTTTAATCCAAAATTTCAAGAGAAACTCCTCCAAATTTGTTATAACTTCAACTAAAGATTCCCTACCAAGACTTGAAGATAACCCCAATATTAATTTCTCAATTTTTCATCAAATCAAGAAACCTATTTTAAACCTTCAATCTTTATAAAGACCCCATTAATGGTGTTTCGATTTGAAATGAAGAATTCAGACTCATTTCAGTTTTAATCAATAGGGAGGCTGCTCCTGGAGATGAGTGACGGCTGGAGATGGGTGGGGTGAATAAGAAAGGTTTGGCAATGGGGTTTAGAGATGAGGGTGGCGGAGGATTTGGTGGTGAGAAGGGGGGAGCTTGCCGGCGGCTGGTTGTTTAGAGAAGGGGCTGGCGGTTGCTTTTTTGTGTGAAGAAGAAGGGTTTGTAAAGGGTGTGGGCAGCTGTGGTATTGGGATTTCATTTCTTACTTTAATCAATATGGACGATTGTTGGTTCAAACTTTGGAGCTAAATCAATGGTGGAGGCACAACAATGGTGAAAGTGGAGGAGGCAATGGAGAAGAAGAAGAAGAAGAAGAAGAAGAAGAAGAAGAAGAAGAAGAAGAAGAAGAAGAAGAAGAAGAAGAAGAAGAAGAAGAAGAAGAAGAAGAAGAAGAAGAAGAAGAAGAAGAAGAAGAAGAAGAAGAAGAAGAAGAAGAAGAAGAAGAAGAAGAAGAAGAAGAAGAAGAAGAAGAAGAAGAAGAAATAAGAAAGACAAAAAGAAAAATCTATTTTTTGGGCTCTTCACGCACCTAGCTATATTGGGTGAAACTCACTTTATGTGCCAACTCAGCAAGAAGTGCCTAATTGGGACAAAGTTCATGTAATGTATGTGCTCATTAGGAACACCCTTAAGTTCTGGTGTCTAAATAAAAAATGGTGTCAACTTTAAGTGTCTCCATGTGTATTCTGCCTTGTATAAATATAGAAATAGCACTGTACATATGACACAAGAAATAGAAAAATATTTTTCATACCATCTTTGTTGAATTTCTTCGGTATGTATAATCGTACGATAAAAGTTTTGTAACACGTTATGAGGACCGAGGGCAAGGGACGATTGAGCAACTCAAACGACAACTTTATTATCTGATGTAATTAATATTTTACTTAATGATATGGTTAGTAGAAGTAAATTTAGTTAGAACAATGGTAAAATATACGCCTAAGTATATATGGACAAACGAAATAAATTATTATTTTTATAAAAATAACAGAGCCAATTTTTCAGATACTACTACACTTGTCTTCCTTCTCTGCTCGCAAAGACTCCAACTAAGCGTTGGTTCATATCCGAAGAGAAGTAGTTCTACCGCGGGAGTACGTTTCTCATTGATGCACCGCGTATTCTTTGTTCAATGTCGGAAATACTATTACACTCACGCAATTGCAGCGAATTCTCAGATTTCTCATTTTGCTCGTTTGGGCCAAATTCAGAATGCCCGAAGGGTGTTCGACGAAATGTCCGACAAAACTGTAACTTCTTGGAACTCGATAATCGCTGGGTATTTCCAAAATCAGCAGCCCTATGAAGNAAGCGTTGGTTCATATCCGAAGAGAAGTAGTTCTACCGCGGGAGTACTTTTCTCATTGATGCACCGCTTATTCTTTGTTCAATGTCGGAAATACTATTACACTCGCGCAATTGCTGCGAATTCTCAGATTTCTCATTTAGCTCGATTGGGCCAAATTCAGAATGCCCGAAGGGTGTTCGACGAAATGTCCGTCAAAACTGTAACTTCTTGGAACTCTATAGTCGCTGGATATTTCCAAAATCAGCAGCCCTATGAAGGCCAGCGTCTTTTTGATCAAATGCCTGAGAGAAACATTGTTTCCTGGAATGGGTTAATCTCAGGTTATGTAAAGAATGGGATGGTGAAGGAAGCAAGAAAGGTGTTTGACAAAATGCCCCAAAGAAATGTCATTTCCTGGACTGCTATGGTCAGAGGGTATGTTGAGAAGGGATTGGTTGAGGAGGCGGAAACTCTGTTTTGGCAAATGCCTGAAAAGAATGTTGTGTCATGGACTGTGATGTTAGGCGGGTTGATTCAAGAAGGGAGAATTGATGAGGCTAGAAAGCTTTACGTCATGATGCCAGTAAAGGATGTAGTTGCAAGGACTAATATGATATGTGGATATTGTCAGGAAGCCAGGTTGGAAGAGGCTCGCGACCTCTTTGATGACATGCCACAAAAGAATGTCGTTTCTTGGACTGCCATGGTATCAGGATATGCCCAAAATGGTAAACTGGATATTGCTAGAAAACTATTTGAAGTCATGCCTGATAAGAATGAGATCTCATGGACTGCAATTGTCATAAGCAATGTGCAATATGGTAGATTTGAAGAGGCGTGGAAGCTTTTCGAAGTAATGCCTGTAAAAACCACTCCTGCTTGTAATGCCATAATACTTGGAATTGGACAGAATGGGGAGGTTGCTAAAGTAAGGATGGTATTTGATCATTTGAAGGAGAAGGATGATGCAACATGGAGTGCAATGATCAAGGTTTACGAAAGGAAAGGGTATGAGTTAGAGGCGCTGGATTTGTTTCAACGAATGCAAGTAGAAGGATTTCGGCCAAATTTCCCTTCCTTGATAAGCATGCTTTCAATTTGTGCTAGTCTTGCAAGTCTTGATTATGGTAGAGAGATACATGCAAAGTTAATCAGAACCGACTGTGATGATGATGTGTATGTCTCGTCTGTATTAATCACAATGTACATTAAATGTGGTGATTTCGTCAAGGCAAAAATAATATTTGACAGATTTTCTCCTAAAGATGTGGTCATGTGGAATTCCATTATAACAGGTTATGCTCAACATGGTTTAGGAGATGAAGCTCTAGAAGTGTTCAGAGAAATGTGTTCTTTAGGTATTACCCCAGACGAGGTTACCTTTGTTGGAGTTCTATCTGCATGCAGCTACACTGGGAAAGTGAAAGAAGGGCAAGGCATCTTCGAGTCCATGAATTCAAAATATCAGATGGAGCCAGCAACTGCACATTATGCTTGCATGGTAGACATGCTTGGTCGAGCTGGTCGGTTGAATGAGGCAATGGATCTGATCAACAAAATGACTGTAGAAGCAGATGCAATTGTTTGGGGTTCTTTGATGGGTGCATGTAGGATGCATATGAACCTAGACTTGGCGGAAGTTGCTGCAAAGAAACTTTTACAGCTTGAACCCCAAAATTCTGGGCCCTATGTCCTACTTTCTAATATTTATGCATCCAAAGGTAAGTGGGCTGATGTTGCTTCGCTTAGGAAGTCAATGCAGTCTAGGGAAGTGGTTAAATCACCTGGTTGTAGTTGGCTTGAGGTAGACAAGAAGGTGCATATGTTCACCGGTGGACAGAGCACACCCCATCCCGAGCATGAATCGATCATCAAAATGTTAGAAAAGTTGCGCCCTATGTTAAGAGAAGCTGGATATTGTCCTGATGGAAGCTTTGCTCTGCATGATGTGGATGAAGAAGAGAAGATGCATAGCTTGAATTATCACAGTGAGAAACTAGCTGTGGCCTATGGACTTCTGAAATTGCCTGAAGGTATGCCTATACGAGTAATGAAAAATCTTCGGGTTTGTGGTGATTGTCATTCTGCTATTAAATTAATATCTAAAGTCACAGGACGAGAGATAATTCTGAGAGATGCCAACAGATTTCACCATTTTAAGGATGGGGTATGTTCATGTAGGGATTATTGGTGACTGCTTGATTACCTGTAATAATTCATTACAAACAGCTTTGGTGTTGTGGTAAATGGTGACTATGCACTCATTTAGCAGCCAACTGTATGCATTCGTCTCTAATAGATTATAGAAGAGGATCATAAAGCCCACTAGTGCGAGTATTTCATCTCAAATTACTGGAGATATAGTGTATCCTGAGTTTGTCGAACAATTATAGAGGATTGTGTTGTCTACTCAAACAAATTCATTTGTGAATATAAAAGAATGCAAAGATTAGGACGGAGCTAATATCTAATCTCATACTAAACAATGCTCTGCACCAAGCCAGATCACCCATTATTGCAACCTTCAGAACAGGAGTTCCACTAGCTGGAGCTGGTTTCCAGAGCATGAACCGAGTCAGAGAATTAGCGTGAACAAAGACTAGAGCCGGAGACTTGGCGTTTGAACTGTGCTGAGCAGACATGACTTCTACCTTAACTTTGTCCTTTTCACTATGCACCAGCCATGAACTAAAACGGCTAATCTGTCAAAAACAATCTTGTTTCCAATCATGGCATGGCTTTACTGAGTTGGCATTGTTGCAGCTATTCTGATCTTCTTCAGCCACTTGTAGTACAGAGCCAAACTAGCGGAAGGTTGACAAGAATTCAAGAGAAGGTAAACCGTCCTGCCTAAGTTCACTGAAGTTAGCTTTCTGATCAAATTAGTTGTTACTGAAAGATATTATACTAAACTTCCATGAATTGAAACTGATATCCTGTTATTCTCTTTTCCCCGTTTTTCAGTTTTTTCTATTGAGATTGTTGTCTTTCTGCATTTTCTTCACTTTGTAGTAGTTCATATCTGTTTAAATTATTCAAAGCTATATGTGAATTGAAACTGATATCCTGTTATTTTGGATGTATGTTTTTCTTGTGTTATTTTCAAATTCAGCTTTCCATGGTTTGGGCTTGGGTTATAAGCATCGTTTGCTGGTTTCTTTTGCATTCTAATCCTTGTGTTGCATATCACGTATGAGCAGGAGTCGTACTCCTGGTTTTGTTGTTATAGCAGGGTTGGTGAAATAGAACGAGATCAGCTTGTGGCAGACTTCCATAAGGGTACGGGTGTAATTATGATTTACTTCTTCAGTTTGCAAATGGAGATGAACCTTAAGCTTTGTGTTTAGTGCTTCCTATTTTTCTTACCTTTGCTGCTAGTTTTTCTTTTTTTCTTTTTCATATTAAATGGTAGACTTGTTGATTAAAAAACTTGCTTCTGCTTTAATCAGGTGCTTCCCCCTCGAAGCTATGGATATCCTGTTTTACCCTTCTAATGGATTGCCTATTCTGAAAAAAGATTCAAACAGTGCCATTGCTAGGGAACTATTTTGCCTTTCAGCAGACGAAGCAGCTTTAAGTTTATATCATGTTATATCGTCAGTGAATGCTGATCATATAGTAGAAGACTTGGCTGTGATATTCGATTGCAAGGTGGAAACCCCACCGTTTGTCTTGGGCTACATCTGGGAGCAAAACACAAAGAATCTGGCACTTGGCAAAGTGTCATTGACAGATGTAAAAACAGATTTGCTCCAAGAAAGAAGCTGTACCTTTCTTTGGGAGGAAGACTATACTAATCAGTAGTGTTTTGTATGGCGTCCCTACTTGATGTCTTTACTGCACATTCGTGCAAATGTTGGAAAGCGATTGAATAAAATAAAACCTTTCTATGGTAATGAAATTCTGAGAAGAAAGAAATGCATCGAGTCAGATGGCCCATAGTGACTAAAGACAAAAAGAAATTCTATGAGGTATGGGAATCAAAAATCTGAAATTCTCAACAAAAGTTTGTTCCCGAATAGTGTAGGAGGTACAATGAGCAGGGATGAATTGTGGAAGAATGTGATAACAGTGCAATACAGCAAAACTGATAACTGGTGCACTAGACTAGTGACTACTTCATATGTAGTTGCACTATGGAAACCAATTAGAGGTAGGACTTTATAAAAAAAAGATAACTGAAGGAGCGCAATGGCAGGAAGATCAGATTATGGTCAGATAAATAGCTGGAAAGGTCTATCATGAAAGAGCTGTTCCCTGACCTTTACTATATAGCCGTCTTCAAGATTCACAACAATCTCGATGCTACACTGGAGATGGATAGAAGAAGTTTCAGTCACTGGAAATAAAAAGGGTTAATATAATCCGCGTTGCATAAACTGGAAGCAGTAAATATGGAGGTGAACAAGACCCCGTTGTATGGACAGGCTGCACGAATAGCAGATTCTCAGTTAACTCCTGTTAGAAAACTTTACTTCAACAGAGGAGTTGCAGTAACTCACTGTCCTTGAAAAATGATTTGGAAAGAAGAGTTCCGACAAAAGTTGTGTGTTTTTATGGATTACATCTTTTGGTGCTTGTTTTGACACAAGACGACTTACAGAGGAGAGGATATCAGTTATGCTGCAGTAGACAGTAAGCACCATCAGTCTGTTTTACCATTTATTAGTCCTTGAAGTCATTTTTTCTGTTGCATGTATTGGTTTCTCTTTCTCTTTTTGGTACCTTCTCTATCTATCTTTTCTTGTGCTATTCATGTCTAACTATAAATCGTTCTGCTCCATGTCAATTGAAACTAATATTTTGCTCATTTCTTTTTCTTTCTATAGCGGAGCCAGAATTTTCCCTAAGAGGAGTCAAAATATAAATAAGCATATAAAAAAATTAAGGGGATTCAACACATATATATCTGCATAAAAATAAAATATTTAACATATCTATGCGGTAGGTGTCAATTGACTCTCTTTGCCAATGAGTGGCTCCGTCATTGCATTCTATTATGCATGGTTTGGATGTTATAATAGTATGCATGCGTATAGCTGCTGAGAACCAGAGCATGATCTATTTTAAGGAGAAACAACTCCTGAATTCCAAATTCTTTGCTAGAGAGACAACAGCCCAAAGGTGACCAAATAAATCTGCAGATGAGTTCTTAAAATTCTTCATGCTCTTTTGGCAATATGAAACAATTCTGCATATTGCACGTAGTATCGAATTGATGGACAGAGACAACAAACAACTGGTACCAAATGCTTATAGAAGTTGCAATTCTAACAGGAAAGTTATGCAAATGATGACACCAATAGGTCACATAAATATTTTGCTACTTGAAGCTGGCCCTTAATTTAGGCAGCTGCAACCATAATCTGTAAAATTTACCATAAACATACTGCTGGTGGTTTACTCTTTTCTTTTTGACTGTACAAGGGTCCAAAAAAATAACCTCCAACTCTAGCTCAATGAAAATTATCTTAAATTCCTGAATACAAGCTCAAGAACCACAAAATATTCAGACTTTTAGTGACAAGAAGAAAAACTCAATAAGTCTTGGAACACCCATAATTCACAGTATCATCATCCGAATGGATCCAAAATCAGCCACCTTAACATAAGACATCAGTTGCTGTAGAAACTGAAGCACTTTCACCACAATTACTAATGAACAGACAACTGAATCAATCATGTGTGTCGAGGGGAAGAAAAAGAATAAAAGATAGCCTGGTGCACGAAGCATCACGCATTCACACAAGGTCTTGATTTTGGACCGCACTCCAAAGAGTGTGATGTAACCGGCCTACTTGATGCAAGCATCAATGGCTGATTTCCGTAACCTTTAGGTCACACAAAGACAATTTTACTGTTGCTCCAACTCCCCTCCTTTGAAAGAAAAAAATACAAAAGGGAAAAGGGTCAACTCAAATTGACTATATACATTCAGAAAATAAAATTCAGGTAGATGGGTGATCAGTAGTTACAGGGAGATTAGATTATCAAGTCGAACTCAACCCAATTCTGTCCCAGATTTGAAGAAGAAGAAATAGAGGAATTATCAAAATCTTGATGATGAGATGATGAAGTAGAAGAAGTAGCGTAAGAATAACGTTGGTAGGAATAAAGGCTATGAGGAAAACAGAGGAAAGTCCAAACACAGAGACCAATCCGTTGAAGAGGAAAACAGATAACAAGATCCAACAGTTGTTGGCTGCTTATTGGATCTTGCAAACATGCCAGAAACTGCCAAATCTGTGCTGAAAACTTTGCCACTGACACCACTAATACCCCATTGAATGCCATGTTTTGTTAGTAGTATGCTCTTCTTCTGTTTTTCTTTAGATTCTGCTCTTAAACTTACTTTTCACTTTTCTGTCATTTCCCTCAACTTGAAACTGTATGTTGTCCACTTGTCTGCCAGTTGAAGGTGTAAAGTAGGGGCGGAGCCCGAGTGCTCACTGCGCGTTTGGTCGAACCCAATAATTTTGATTCAAATCATATATTTATTTTTAAAAAGTTCATTGAATATATACGAATTATTACTCCCTCCGGTACACAATAAGGACCAATTTGCTTTGGGCACACGAAAATACTAAATTCTAGACGAAAAATAGTTAGTATAACTAAACTACCCTTCATTAAATGTTGCACCAGAGTTATAGTAGCACTTAATTCTCTTCTCAAATATGAGGAGTAAATGACTTTTTAGAAATACGTACATAAGGGTAATTTTGGAAAAACAAGTTAGAATTTTTTTTCTTGATTATATAAATTGACATTTAATTTAAACCAAAATAAAAAAACAAATTGATTACTTTTTGTGAACCGGAGTAAATAATTTAGAACGCAATAACTTAAAATTTTAGATTCCTGAATCCATAACCTCGAAATATTAACTCTCTGGTGCAAAGTGTAAAGTGGGGGAGAAGTGGTCAGCTGGAATTAATTGGCAATATTACATTGGTTTTAATGGAGTGGTTAAGCTATAATGATAAACCTATTGCTTTATTGGATATAATATATTAATATCATCTAGTCTAACTCGGTTACCAAATAATAGTTGTATTAAATATCGTTATGACAATATTCTAAAACATGATTCACAAGGATCTTTGGCTTTTTGAAAGAGACAAATTAAAAAAACCAATATTGTGGATACGGAATTTCTTATTAAATGTAGCTAACTAATCAAAATGAAACAACTCACCACAATATAAAAGTTGAGGCATTGATGAGTTGTACATATTGAAACAAGACAGTCAACATATTCACATTTAAGATAATTTGTCCTTGAAATCATCATTTTACATTTTTGAAAGATTTCACAATTTTCTTCCCAAATTCCATCCCAAATCACGAAATAAATGATGAATTCAGTGATAGATTCATGTACTCTAGCCAAATCTGAGTTAGAATCACTTATACCAAGGAATTTCTTGAAAAACCTTCGAAAAATCACCAAAATCCGAGTTCTCTAGGTCAAAATATCAAATAAAACACAAAACCTCGTATTTATAGAGTACCCCTCAGATTTCAGCCACCGCGGGCCGCCGTTTCACAGAGATTTGAAGGAAAATAATCACGAATTAGGGTTGAGGGAAGAACGGGGATTATGTGGTGTGATTTTGGGCTGGTTTGGATGAACTTGCCACTTGGCCGGAAAACTTCAAACTCTACACCTCTCGGTGGTTCGAGTGATTTTGGCCGAATTAACTTTCTCAAGACCAATTGGATATGCAAATTTGTACAACTAGGGTTCAAGTCGGGTATTACTCTCTCGAGGTTTATTTGCTAAAATTGAAAGGTACGAATATAAAATATTAGATGTTGCTAAAATTGAAAATACATTAAAATTAGATATATATTAAAATTGAAAATATATTAAATTAAAATATATAAAAATTAAAACTACGATAAATAGCATAATAACAAAGTAGGGGCTTATGTCGTTTCCAGATACACCAAAATCGTGTCTGCCCATATTCTTTCAATTTGGGTTTACAAGTCTGATAAAATATTTATTCTTTTCGTCATTAGTTAGGTAATTAAATTAATTGTTTGAGTACAAAATTTTCCCTTTTGTGTATATTAGTTTACTCGTACATACTTATTTTATAAAAATTATAACATGTTATTTTGGACAACTGTATTGGCTATCACAAAGTTAATTAGACTTTCTAACTCTTATTAATTACAAAAGTATTTGGCTCTCTGTATTATTGTTTAGAATAATAAATATCTATTGCCAGCTCATGTTGTTCCCTTTTTAAAAAGTTAATCATTTTGATTTGAATAAATCAATCATATCTGATAACATTATTGTACCTCATAGAATTAAAGCAATGTAATTATAAACAATACCTAAGTAGCCTTATTTATTTTTTAATCTTAATTTGCATTTACATGATATCCAATCCATCTCTAATTCAAGTAGTTGGCCAGTACTAAAATAACATCAGTTTTATTTAGATCTTCTTAATTCAAACGAGAGTTTTTGACCAATATTGTCTCTTATCTTTGAGGGTAGGTGTATTTTGATCCCTCAAATATAACCTGAGCATATTTAATCCCTTAAGTATGCTAAAGTGGAGCACCTTTAGTCTCACTGACAGAATGTGTTCAAAAACTAACGGTGTTAACCAACTCTGATTCATGAATCAAATCTTCTGCTCTAAAGCAAAATGTTTCCTCTCCTTTTATTAGATAACGCAAATTATCGCTTTAATTCTTCATTTTTAGATAATGTCTTCTAAAATTTTGACCTTGAAAATATCCCCTATGTGCCAGTTTTCAATGAGAAAATGACACTGTATAGCTGTTGTAAAATAATAGCCGAAAAATGTATAAATTTGTATATTATTTTGTATATAAATACATTTTGTATGTTAATATACAAAAATTATACAAATTTTATATACTTTTTCGGCTACTAAATATAAATAATTTCTGGTGCGGGCTAAAAGTGATAATACAATCTGGTTATTTGTTTGCTTCAATAATATGCCTAGAAGTGATCTTGTCAGCTATATATTTTTCAAATTTTAACTTTTCTTTTTGAAAAAATCAACAAAAAATTTTAAAAGTAAAAGTTTCAACGTTAAAATCTTAAATTTATCAGCTCTCTACTATTAGTGGATGTTGGTTTATAAAATATTTTTGATAAGTAAATTAAAAAGACGGTCAGTGCCGAAACACAACTCCGTAATTGATCTTTGACAGATTCTATCAGTGAGACTAAAGGTGCTCTACTTTAGCATACTTAAGGGACTAAATATGCTCATGATTATATTTGAGGGACCAAAATAAACCTAACCTCAAAGATAAGGGACAATATTGGCAAAAACTCTTCAAACTAGCAGTAACTATTTGGTACTTTGGTTTCTACTTTATTTCTCTATACAGATATTATATATGCAGATAAAAGTTTATTAATTATGAGATATAAGAAAACTCATGCAAAATTTATACATATTCCCAAAAGCTGACTTGATCTTAAAATAAAAAGGCGAATGCAATGTTCCTTTTTTTTTTCGTACCTCCAAATCTTTTGGTGATCAAGAATTTAAAAAAAAACATACATGTTTTTATTTCAAATTTATTAAAAAGAAAATGATTTTCCCTTATAAATTATTGGTTAAATGATTCGTCGAACGGTTCAGTTGATCTGAGCCCGGTTTAGACTCCAAGCACTCAAACCGGAGACTTCAACATCGTGGGATCCATTGTTGAAAACAAATATATGGGCATTATCGTTGATGGCTAAAGTAGGATAAGCTCTGGTTGTAATGCAAGTTTTTCCCCCTCCACCAAAGCTTTCTACTATGGAATGATCAATCTGTTTTAAAAAAGAAAAAAAAAAAGCATATAATTAGTCTAGCTATTTCGAGCTTTGAATATGTTACATGTGTTGCATAATTCAAAAATTAGGAGATTTGTATTTTGATAGTAAACTTACCAAAGTTCTCAATGACAACTTTTCCGTAACAGGATCAACATCCAAAAAGGCTCCATATTTGCTTGTGTCGTACTCAAAACCCTCAGCAGACCTGCATTTTGAAAAATTCATAATGAATTTCTAAAATCTTTTTAGTTTAAACAGCTGGGTAGGCGACTATAGTTGGGTGGGCGACTATGTAAGTTAAATGCAAACAAACACTTTCAAACTTGTCATGTTCCATCAAGTAGTATTTGTTGAGTTTCTTTTTAATATGAAAAGGTATTAAAAAGAGGGTGAATATGAAATGGAGGGAAATGAAAATTTTGAGTAAAATTTTAAGTTTCCAAATGCACTTCATGTAGCTCTTAAAGAGTTAGGAAGAAGGCAAGCCTCGCGCCGCCGTCATCGCTCGCTCGGCTCGGCGTCGGCTTCGGATTTGGATTTGGTCAAATGATCGATTGATTGATTAATATTTTGGACCAAATTTATTTGTTAATAGTGAATATTAACGTAATATTATCCGTGTTTGTAACGGATGTTTTCTAATCCGTGAATATTAATGAGCAAGTGCTCATTTCACCATGTTGAGTGCTTCCTCCATTAATTAAAAGTCTTAGTGCTCCAGCCACCATGAGTGCTTCCTCCATTAATTAAAAGCCTTAGTGCTCCAGCCACCATGAGAAAATGCTTCACCAAATGAGTGTGTTTACCAGCTGATTACACTATAAAAGAAACCAGCAGCTTGTTGAAAAACAGAAAAAAACGGACAGAAAATAGAAAGCAACGAGCAATCTAATTTCCTCTTCTATTATCGCTCAACATTGGCAATAAATTGCATTCCTTCCTCTCAAAAATTCCATTCGACTTCTGAGTTCTCCTCCTTTCTTATGCATTGCTTTAAACTACAAACAAAGCAACCGTAAGTGTGATTTGCTGTCGAACTTTGTGTTCGCTGAAACACCGGGCATCCCAACACACGAGCATAATCCAATTGTGATATGCTTTGGCCTTTATTCTTTGCTGGTGCAAGATTCACGTCAATTGGAGTCTTTGCAACTTTAAAGCCCAAGTGCTTGAATTTTTCAAGTACTGTCTTAATATAATGAGATTGTGACAATGCCAGACCTTGAGGAGTCTTATGGATCTTAATTTCAAGAATTAAATCAGCAACTCCCAAGTTTTTCATATCAAACTTGTTAGTGAGCATACGCTTAGTAGCATTTATGTTGGAATTGTCATTACTCATTATCAGCATATCATCCACATATAGGCAAACAATGACTATGTGATTTGGAATATTTTTAATGTACATACATTTATCACATTCATTTATCTTAAAACCATTTGACAACATTGTTTGGTCAAATTTCGCATGCCATTGTTTGGGTGCTTGTTTTAGTCCGTAAAGAGACTTAACAAGTCTACATACCTTCTTTTCTTTACCTGGAACCACAAACCCTTCAGGTTGTTCCATGTAAATTTCTTCCTCCAAATCTCCATTTAAGAAGGCTGTCTTTACGTCCATTTGATGAATTTCAAGACCATAAACTGCAGCTAAAGCTACTAGCATTCATATGGATCATTACTCTATGGATCATTACTGGAGAATATATATCAAAGTAGTCAAGACCTTCTCGTTGTCTATATTCTTTGACAACAAGTCTTGCCTTAAATTTATCAATAGTGCCATCATCTTTTAATTTTCTTTTAAAAATTCATTTACAACCCAAAGGTTTATTTCCAGGAGGAAGATCAACCAATTCCCATGTATGGTTGTTCAAAATGGATTCTATTTCACTATTGACTGCTTCTTTCCAAGACAATGATTCCGAAGAAGACATAGCTTCTTTAAATGTTTGAGGATCATTCTCCAGAAAGTCACAAAATCTGGTCCTAATGAAGTAGACGTTCTTTGACGTTTACTACGTCTTGGATCCTCCTAATTAAATGTAATTTCTTTGTTTCTTCCCGAGGTCGTTTAGATCCTTCACCAAACAACTCCCATTCATTTTTTTACGGATATATATTTTCAAAGAACTCAGCATTATCTGATTCTATAACCGTATTATTATGAATGTCGGGATTTTCTGATTTATGAACCATAAATCAATATGATTTACTATTGGTCGCATATCCTATGAAAACACAATCAATTGTTTTTGGTCCTATTTTTACCCTTTTGGGTTTAGGAACTTGCACTTTTGCCAAATACCCCCACACTTTAAAATAATTCAAGTTGGGCTTCCTTCCTTTCCATTTTTCATATGGAATGGAATGTGTTTTACTATGGGGTACTCGATTTAGTATTCGGTTAGCCGTAAGAACGGCTTCCCCCCACAAGTTCTGTTGCAAACCAGAACTTATCAACAATGCGTTCATCATCTCCTATAATGAACGATTCTTTCTTTCCGCAATCCCATTGGATTGGGGCGTGTAAGGGGATGTTGTTTGATGAATAATTTCATATTCTAGACATATTTCTTCAAAAGGAGATTCATATTCACCACCCCTATCACTTCTTATCATTTTTACTTTCTTGTTAAGTTGCGTTTCAACTTCATTTTTGTATTGCCTGAATGCGTCTATTGCTTCATCTTTACTATTCAGTAAGTAAACATAGCAATATCGAGTACCATCGTCAATAAAAGTTATGAAATACTTCTTTCCACCGCGAGATGGTATTGACTTCATGTCACAAATATCTGTGTGAATTAAGTCTAAAGGATTTGAATTCCTTTCAACTGACTTATAAGGATGTTTAACATACTTAGATTCCACACATGTTTGACATTTTGATTTTTCGCATTCAAACTTAGGCAGTACTTCCAAGTTAATCATTTTCCGCAAGGTTTTATAATTCACATGACCCAAACGTACATGCCATAAATCATTTGACTCAAGTAAGTAAGAAGAAGTTGAAGTCTTATTATTATTATCAACAACTATTACATTGAGCTTGAAAAGGTCCTCGGTGAGGTAACCTTTTCCTACAAACATTTCATTCTTACTTATTACAACCTTGTCGGATACAAAAACGCACTTGAAACCGTGTTTTACAAGAAGTCTAGTAGAGACTAAATTCTTCCTAATTTCGGGAACATGAAGGACGTTGTTCAAATTCATGATCTTGCCAGAAGTCATCTTGAGAAATATCTTCCCATATCCTTCAATTTTTGCTGTAGCAGCATTTCCCATGGAAAGCGTCTCTTCGGGTCCAGCAGAAGCATAGGTAGAAAATGCTTCCCTCACAGCACAAACATGGCGAGTGGCTCCAGAATCAATCCACCACTTCTTAGGATTTCCTACCAGGTTGCATTCAGAAAGTATGGCACATAAGTCATCAACATCATCATTCTTTTATACCATGTTTGCTTGACCCCTTTTCTTGTCTTTCTTTCGAGCACGACACTCCGTAGATTTTGTCCGGTTTTCCCACAGTTGTAGCAGTTTCCATTGAACCGCTTCTTGCTTGGATTGTATTTTGTACCATAAGCCTTCTTTCTCTTTTTGTTATCTTCAACAATATTTGCTCCCATTATTGTTGAATTTCCACGGCCTCTCTTTTTCGCAGCTTTAGTGTCCTCTTCTATTCTCAATCGAATAATGATATCTTCAACGGACATTTCCTTTCGTTTGTGTTTCAAATAATTTTTGAAGTCCTTCCACAACGGAGGCAACTTCTCAATCATTGCTGCTACTTGGAATGCTTC